TGTGGCATACTGCGTAGCCACACGGGCCCTGCAGGGCCCGTCCCGCACTTTCAGCCTAAAAGCCTAGAAAATAGGGCTTACAGGCCCCGGTCGTTTCAGTCTGAAACTGAAAAAAGAGGGCCTGCAGGCCCTATCCCGTTTTCAGCCTATTTCTGGGCCTTTCAGGCCCAGAGGTTTTTCAGCCTGAAACGGAGGGCCATTTTCAGGCCCTCATTGTGTTCGCCCTACCTAAGACTCAGGCACAAAAACAGGGTTTCAGGAACAGGCTATTTCTCGCCTGTTCCCCACGACAGCAAGCAGGAGCTGCAGCTGTAGCCCCTGCCTCCCTTCGGCATTGGCAAGAGCAGCCTCCTGGACTGCCTCGCGGCAGTCAGGAGGCACCCGGTAGTACATAGGAAGTTCCCATGCACTTCAGTAGGTAGTTGGACAGTAGGCACGAGTAGTCTTCAGGATTCGGCCGCAGCACTCAGGAGGAGCGCTGCAGTAGTCTTCAGCGCTAGTGTTAGTCTTCAACGCTGGGCGCCCATAGCTGTAGGTGTAGTCTTCAGCGCTGGGCGCTAGTAGGTGGTAGTAGTAGCAGTGGAGGGAGATGGCTGGCGGAGGCCAGCGGTACTTACCTGTGGCGCCATAGCTCCAGCTCCATCTTCGAGGTACCTGCATCAAGGCGCCAACTTCACAGGTTAGTACCGGACACACAGAGAGAGAGAGAGTTCTTCTTCTTCCTCTTCTAAGTCCACCATCTCTTCTCACCCTCTCACCACCTGACTTCTCAGACTACGACAGAGAGAGAGAGAGTTGTGACTTGGGACTTGACGACATTGGATCCAGACTTGACATTTGGGATTCAGACATTTCTACGAGGGACTATTTGGGCTTGTGCCAAAGACTTGGTGTTGACGACATTCCCATCTTCCCCTCCTCTTCGTCTAACGCCCTTCTTCTTCGTCTGTGTATGGTTGGGGCTGGCGCAGTCTTGCTGTGTGAAGCGCCAGACCCCATTCACACCATGTAAAGATGATGATGATGTAGGTTCAGGGCTGCATTGCAATATTGATTGTTCGGATCATTGGTATCTAAGTCTTCCACTACACCATCTTGTACTTTGTATTGAGAGGTCGGTTCTTGTTCTGGTCTGCACCGTTACACTATGCAACACTACCGCTACTCCTAAGGCTTATACAGGGGACCCCTGCAAACATAGCTTTGTTGTCTCCCTCCAGCCATCAGAGGGGATGCATGTTGCCCCCGCCCCAACCATGGTGATCAAGGATGGGTTGGGGCCGCCGGTGGGGGTCTGGCTAACGCAAAGACCGAGCACCCGGCCATGGTTACTTCAATTGGCATTTTCCGAAATGGAGGTGTGGGTGACTTGACTGCAAAACCCCGTTTTGATCGAAAATCAAAACTTGGTTTCGATCAAAACTTGGTTTTTGACGTGGCCGCAGTTACCTCAAATAAAACATAGAACGAAAATGAGTTCCACGTAAGCAAAAAAACACGGCAAAAGTTATAAATTCCTCCTGCGTGTAGTCGTTTCCCCCTGGACCGTGGCAAATGGCTCGACAGGCCCAGAAAGCTGGTGGCAGAACTTACGGATCCCCCGCGCCTCACGCCTTTTGGGGCTGGGCTTCCCACACGTCGAGGGGGCAAACGAGTACTAACCTTTTGTCACCGGGGTTTCTATAATGTTTCCCAAAAATCACGTCGGGAGGGTCGTTCCGACTCGTTCGAAAGAAAAAAAAAAGGAAAGAAAAAAAGGGAAAAAAACGGAAAAAAACGGAAAAAAACGGGAAAAAAAAACGGAAAAAAAAGGGGAAAAAAAAGGGGGAAAAAAAGGGGAAAAAAAAGGAAAAAAGGAGGAAACAAAAGCTGGGCGGTGCTTTCTTACAAGCACGGACGTCATAACTACAAAGGCCGACCGTGGTGTGCAAAGGGTCTGAGTTCAAAAAGGGCAAAAAAAAAAACCAGCTCTTTTAGTATTTTTGCTATGTTGCCTTCATTTCCAAAACTGCTCCGGCAACAGAACTACATTTAGTGTTTTTTTTTGCTTTTTCGAAACCCAAACCATGACTCAGACATAGTTGTTTTTTCTGAAAAATAATACCCTGTATTGAGAGCAGTCATCCGTGGGAATATGAACGGCCATAAGAACGAGATTTATGCAGTGCTAGCTTCTTCCACCGAACATAAGGCCTCATCATAATGAATGTATACTAACCCTTTTCCTGTCCAAATATGGTGATGATGATGGCGCCCATGAGCCTAATATCAAGGAGAAAGTAATAAATCGCCTTGTGGCAAAACCTTTGTATTCAATGGTCCCCCAAACGGGTAGAAAGTGTGGGAGCCCTCAAACCACATTTCGTGTC